AACCAACGGAAAGAATTGTAGCTTTTCTTAGGGAGACCTATGACAAGTTAATAACCTTTCCTCAAATCCATAATGAGCGGCGAAAATTGTGTTGGCGGCCTAAGAGTCATGGATAAGTTTATAGGAACTTGAGAGAATTTATGTCACATATTCAGCAGCACATCATTAATTAAAGGTGTACTGTTGCTTGTACGATCCCTCGCGAACACGGCCTTTCCCAATTAATTGCTAAATTTTGAAACTTCAGGTACTACATCAATCTTCATTCGGAACTGTTTGAGCCTACTGAGACGGAGAAAGAGAATTTCTCACTGAGAATAGTCACCTTTCCTGTTTGGCAAGAGGGAAATGTTAGCCGCGATGTAATGGAGCGATCCGTTTCTCGCCTACTTCTAGCAACTTATTCCAACATGGTAATTGTTTATGTAAATGCATAAATGGATTTCAGAAAAAGAGGAAGTAGGAAATTCTTGGTATCACTAAATCAAGAATAGGAAGCTCCATCTTGTCATTTGTAAAATGTCGAATATATCAATGGCTACAGTTATTGGCAAAGTCTGGCTGAAGTCATGACTCATACAACTCCAATTTCTTCTATGCTTAGCTTTTAAGCTTTATTTTACAAGTCAGTAGTCCATAGACCTTGAATTTTACAGAGATTTTCTGACCACTCGTTGCATTTTGTTGCGGTAAATATCCAATTTTAAGTACAAAAATCTTAGCGTAAATGCCTTTTTTGTAAGGTATTTGTACAAAAATTCTAATGAACATGATTCTTTGCAGATGTTGCATTTCGGTTCTACAGGGTTGGATTTATAGCAGCAATCATTTTGAAACTAGAAGTGGTCCAAATAGAAGAGATTGAGAGACAATATCGGTTAGTCGATGCCAATATATCCAGAAAATTACCTTCCAGTGGAGTCTGTTTTACTTTTTAACAACTTTTTATCAATACTCGCAAATGCCTTTTCCATTCAACATTTCATAACTAACTTGGCAGGGAAATCAATTCTATAATATTGAGCCGTTTCCCGTGCCTTAGCTATTCATAAAGAAAATTTAGTCCCATCTTTCCAGATATCTTCAAAAACTTATGGAAAGAGAATTTATACACGTACCCGGAGAAGATTCAAAATCTTTTCGAGGTGCTCTACGCCTTTCTTGAAAACGCAAAGATTTTAGAGGTATCAAGCAATCGCATTAACGTCAAAAAGCAAGATGAACTCTTAGTACTTCATAATCTAATTTTGGTGAGATAATTTCGTCACTCCTATTTTTTCCTGGAATTTCATCTTTCGGAATTTTTATGGTGTAGACCTTTTCAGCCATGCATCCTTAATTTCCAATTAGTGCTTGAAGCGTTGCTGACAACAAATTCACCTACGTATTCACAAGGAGATATAATAACGATATCACAAAAGGTTGCAATATTTTAATTACCAAAAAAAATTTCGTTTTCATACGTAACATCAATGTTTACAGTTTATTACCGAACAATATCTAAGTGCTTCTCGGAATTTTATTAGATTGTCGTTTCTTTCTACGGAACCTATAAAGAATGCAACTCTCATGTTCGTCAGTCAGCAGGCACTCATATCCACAGTTCGTTCGATACATTTTTCCAGTAATCTTTGCTCACAATTCAAATGAGTGGAATTCATTTAGGACTGCGGATACAGACTGAATCACTCAAAAGCTCTGAAGCTTCTTCATAATATCTCCACTATTACTGGTAGTCAACCAATTGGGCAAACTTCCAAACTGTGATTTATCCCAGTGTGATCACATTGTGGACGGGATGAGTCATATCAGGCTCATGAATGGTCAAGACATTGTGGTATTTCTAATTTGGTTGAACATATCTCAAACCACAGTGACTTTATTAATTGGAACGAAGACATGCAAGTGTACACGATATAAATCATCAATATATATTTTTTTCTTGCTCAGCTATGAATAAATTCTAATTTCTCAAGTCAAAGAAACAATTTTTTTTCTCAAAAGTTTGTGCCTCCAGCAATGAGTTAGCTATAGTAAAGCGGCTTCGTTCTAAAAGATTCACAAATGCCTTAAGTGATAAGGCAATATTTTTTTGTAAGTTCGTCAATTCTTGAATTCCTTATGTATTTCAAGACTCAATGAATTGTCGGCACTTATCGGTAGCTTCACATTTCTGTCAATCTCCATAGCTTCCCAAACACGTTATTGATTTGTTCTCGAAAAGTTGTGAAAGAAGATACTGGCTAAATTTGAATGGATTTTTACGTTTCAGTGGGACATAAGGAGCCCTGAATAAGCAACCAGGATAAAAATCTATAAGTGTTTTCATGAAGGGGTTGAATATGACTCGTAGGTTAGACGTTGCCCTCGATAGAAATCACAAATAAATCTGAATTATCACTTTTCACGCGTAACGATTACCCACATCGGCTATGTGTTAACCTCGGCATGCTTCAATAATTTCTTATTTTCTTCCAACCAGACGCGAAGTTGTATAACACTATCTATTCAAACAGCTGACGGCTCGGGAGTTTCGCCTTCTTCAGAGTCTGGAAAGATCACGTTGTCCACAATCCAGTCAGCGGAACACTTTCATTACTTTTTTAGAAAGATTACCAGACCCAAATTCTAGTCGCATCAAGCACAAAATCAACTTTCAACATATTCACGTGAGGTGCGCGTGGGGCGTAGTAGTCAGAGGCGCTCTGTGTCGCACACAAGGTCGCTGATTCGATCTCGTCCTCATGGCTCACCAAGCCATTCAACCTTCCGGAGTCGGTAAATCGGTACTAAACTGGTCATAGATTTGTCTGAGAGAATAAGCAGCACTGACTCTATACAGTGAGAGGCCACTGTGAGTCATTGTAAAGGCCAGATAAGGAGTCAATTACCTTAGACGAAGATATAAATTGAAGACGAATGCATAGCGCATCAGTCAGGAATTGATCAACGCTGAGAGTTTTATCCCTTTATCCACTAGATTATTTAACTGAAGACTACTGGACAGAGATCACATGGATTGCAACCGTGAATAATTTCGGAAAGAATATTTTATATTTAGGCGAGTCTAGCTACAGCTGATTATGCATCGATCACATTCTACTAAATCAAATTTAAGTCATTCTTGTATCATATTCTTCTTTAAAATATCGTTTTTATTCTCGATGTTTCAAGTTGTAGTCTATTCTTTTTCCAAAACACGCACACTATCTGTTTTGAGACACAAATTTTAATTATTTGATTTCACGTGTAAACCTCTTTGGTAATCTTCGACATAATTGTTTTTACCTTAGCACCTTTTTCATCTGCATTAACCATTTGTTCGAACCTACTCAAATCTTGGAAACTACAAAAGTATAACATAAATTGGCAGACTCCGCAAATATTTCTGTAATGATGTGTAGCTGTGCCTAAACACGAACTGAATCAGTGCATTGACCTTCGTGAATTCCTAGTATCTTGCTTCCAGTCAAATTCAGCAGAAAGATAAAAGTCAAAAAAGCAAGAAAGGCATGTTTAAATACCTGACTACTTGATGTATTTTTTGACAAATCCTGCCTACATCAGTACAAGTTTAAGTGATTTTATTCCAGTGCTACTACAATTCATAGATATAGTCTGTTCCAACAACTCTATTGATACTCGAAATACTAAATTCTAATAGTTTGTGGTAGTAATAGCGATACAATAGCAACGATATGGTGATATGTGGAAAGGCAAGAAATATAAGGTTGAGATGAAGAATATTAGTTGAGTCAACAGTAATTGGAGTAGTAATTATGCTGCTTATAATCATTCTGTGATGGGCAGAGTTTTGACAGAAGGATCTAGAACAGTGTTAAAAATGGAATTTAAAAATTCCACGATTAGTACAATCGTCAAAAGCTGTTTGTACCGAAAGTTCATATCGGGCCGATATAAAATTTGTGAAGAAAATACGTGTGCATTGGTACGATCATTTCCAAGGGAAGTTTATGTGAAAGCAATACAATGACTTGTATGGAGCATTCTTGTGAAACTATACGACAGCCTTTAAAGAGTTATTCAAACGAAAAATTATAGGCAACATTGAAATCAGTATTGAATTAACAAGAGTGATAGGCTATACAATAACTTATACAGTAATTTTTCGGAATTCAGAATGAGCAGAAATAGATAGAATTTGTGATTTTGCGGAGATAATGAAAGGTATGTAACTAAGACTTCACAAGAGCAACACTACTTGTCAAATCGCTCTAAGAACATGGCATTCTTTTAGTAACAAAAGTCTCAAAAGTATGAAAATTACTTAATCTGATTGTTCATGTATTTCACGCGTCCTACACTGAAGATACAAAACATTATGAGCGTCGAGATATGCTTTCTAGCTAGCTTTAGATATGCTAAGCACCTAGTACAAAGATTAATGTCTGCTTAGCTCTAGCTGTACGTACCAGTGAACTCTTGTATGCTACACGTTTGAGGGTGGTAGAGTGATCGTACACATTGCCTTCCAGGTAGAATAGCACTGGCTAGACGTACCAGTGTCCATGTATGCATCACGTGTGGTTGGTCGTTGTTTACATTCTCTAGGAAGCGAAGCATACGTTTGTTGTTTGTAGACTCTGGCATGCTACATGTGTGGTGGGGTCGTCATTAAGTATGTCCTTTAGGCAGGTGTTGAAAGCTTTGCTAGCTCTCTGAGATATTCGCAGTCTGAAGAAAGGAAGCAAAAACGTGCTCGCAACTAACCGCACAGAACTAAGATTGAATTATAAGTTTTTTCATGAGTAACATACACACCTCAGCTATTTCCAGCGAAGCAAACACTCTTGCGGTCGTCTCCGAGTCGATGCAGTGACAAATGTGATTTGATTTGTCGTAGAGATGTGCCTTCTGGCCGGCTATTCTTTTCTCTTAAAATTATTGGAATTAGTCTAGATTCTTTTTATTTTGACTGCCACTTGCAGTGGTATGATGTTATAGTAAACCCAATACGTGGAGTACTGTGCAAAAACGTTTGCCTTAGCCGGGATTCGAACCCAGATCTCACCCTTTCCTGGAGCGTTATGCTAACCATTGCACTACCTAGCGTCGGTTAGCACTAAGCTTGGAGCCTAGGTGGCATTTGTAGGATTAAAAGATTTCATTATGTTCTGGAAGCATTTCGGGAACGACGCCGTACTTGAATATCTTGTCATATCACGTTCATCCTTGTTTAGCTGGTACAGCAATGATACAACTGGAAGCATTCTCTGTAGACGTAGATTATATAAATCACAGTAAATACGATGTTCGCGAGTACACAGCGGACAACAGGCATTGCATTCAATGCATTTGGCATCTAAAAGAGAATCAAGTGGTCTTGTGGGGAGAATACTACGGGCTTTCGGCGTGTTTATGTCAGATAAGCCGGAAAGCGAGTTAATTCTATCGGATTGATGAATTTACATTTCATGAGACCATATATAACTGGACTAGTAAATTTTCCCTAAGAAAAATCAAAATCAAATTTTAAGGAAAAAAGAAAGTGGACAGAAAGCTTTCCCTAGATCCTCGGGATTCAAATACCTAAACCCGCCTTTAAAAGTAATGCGAGTACAATAAATATATATTCGTGTCTTTCTGGCAAGATGATTTTCATTTGCGAACCAGCCTGAGTAATAAAAATTACAAAAAAAATCTCAATGGTTTTTCGACTGAAAGTGGGGATTTGAGTAGTGAATGCGTTCGTGGTGTATTGAGGGTAGGTTGTATCGTTCACCTTGTCTACATTCGCGCGACTTCTCGCCAATATAGGAACAAACAACCTTCAAATACAAGATTAGAACATTTATAACATAGTGTATATTCATAATGGGACGGGCTAGCGCAGTGATTAGTGATGCAATAAATCAGGAAGCAAGCAAATTCGATCTCCCCCCCCCCCCCCTCACTTTCCTACAATCAATCAATTGAACACCTAAGAACGCCTCAGCTCGTTCGGCTAACCCCATGATTGTAATCGCTCACAATCAGCACAATGCAGAACCAGCGTATATTCATATCAAACTATCGATGTGTATTTCTCTCTAACTTTGAAATGAGTTAGTTCTTCCTACGTGTGGATAGTACACATCTCATCCTGTAAAGCACGCGAGTACTTTCAAGTGTGACTGTAACATCGAAAACACTATTTTGTCCTGTTGCGGTTCGTTGTTTACATGCTCTAATAATGGACTATGTAATGATAAACCGGAAGAAATAGTTGCCAAGATCTCCGCAAATCAAAGTTTCATCATGATATAATAAGAGTATTTTTATCTTATAGGCATGGATTTGCAGATTTTAGAAGTTTTTTATAAATACTAATAAGATTCATTATTATTTAAGCTAAATCGATTCAAACTTGGAACCTGGTCACTACTTGTCGGTTCGTTTGACTCCCATGGAGTTGTCTTGCGTAAGAGTCACATGTAAGACCTTGATGAGAACACTGACAATTTTCTACTCTAGTTATTCACTTAAAGCTTCCCTATTTTTTCCTCTGGAACGCAAAAACTCTTGAGCTGAGCGTTTTCTCTAACTAAGTTCTGACAATAAATCAATGTGGCGTTTGCGGAGCGATAGAGATTGACAGACATATTGACGGTCATAAAGGCCAATAATTTTTCGATAACTTAATCACATAAATGATGTGAGACGCCAACCCTGATATCCGACGCGAACAAAATTATCTCAACAAGAAAACAGTTGGGTAGAAATTTTTTGTGATCCTCGAAAGATTGGTTATTCAATTCAAGGCGTACGGTATTGTCAGACGCAACACGTTGAAAGTTAGACACTACACGCTGCGAGCTAGAGACGAAAACGCTGTGAGTCCACGGTTCCGAAAGGGTCAGAGATGCAGACTGCATTCAATATCAGTAGAAATTGCAGAGGATATTGAATGTAGATTAGCGGTGTTTTATGACTCGGAGTGGCCTAGCGCTATCAAGACAGTGAGTTATTCATTTGAATGGTGCTCTACCGAGAACGATTCGACTCAAACAACAGCGATGACGAGGATCTATAACGAGTACGAACGACTCACGACAATCAACTAGAATCATCGCCTCTGAAGAAGACGAAACGCCGTGGAACGTTAGCCGAATAAATCTTCATTCATCAATCTTGCAGTGCTAGCTAGTTCACAGAACAAACGACCAGAACATTTCGTTTCAATAGTGCCATAACGACATCATGAAAGACTTCATTTTGAACGATGTCTCGAAATAGTCAATTGGAAGCGCTGATATATTTATATTCATATATATATATATACATATTTATATACATATATATATACACATATATAACAGGCCATATATATATTATATACGTGTATATATATATATGTATATAGATATGATATATATATTAATGTATATATATATATGGCCTGTTATATATATGGACATATATGCATATATATATATATATATAATATATATATATACTGGCGTAATAACCGTTAGCCAAGCAAACATTGATCGACAATTAATCACTCTGAAAGAACGCCATGATGATCCCTCACCGCACGCAGAGTTGTAGATAATTCGGCGTCGATTTCTTTATATATAGAGGGCACTACTCCTCACAAGGAGCTGACTGAACCTAAGGCCACCGTGCTACTGATAAGGCCGAGCGGCCAAAACACGTGTCTAGCACTTTATAAGTGCCGTAATAGATATCACGAAAGGCTTTAAATATGCTGTCAGGATGTATCAATACATTGTTTTCTAACTCTTAGTCTACTGTGGTACCGATTTCCCGTTTCCAGACGGATAGAAACATTTGCTTGCTCTCAGCACGGAATCGAACCAAAGACCATGCGTGTGGCGCCGAGCATCTCTAGCCATTGCACTAAGCACAAAGGCTTAATCACCTCCACGTTTTCATTCTACAAAAGACTGCTAGATTTAGAAGCCCACAGAAGATGAAAATTGAAAGAAAGGAAAGTCGGTACGGAAATGTTCGTCTAACGTGCTCTATCGTCAATGGCGGGAATTATGCTGAATTCAAATTCACATTAACCTTCGGGGAGTGCTTCTACGACCGCTGAAAATCGATTACTTTTTCCTTTCAAAAAATTGTGTGATTTCTCTTTCTTTTTTCTTTCATAGGACTTACAATTGTTTGAGAAATTGGCTCTCCTTCGACCTCGACATTGCCAGACAGTAGTAGATCACCGGCGCGTCAGTTCGCCGGCTTTTTTCGCCTCGAAGAAGACAAAATCGTCGAGACCTGACCAAATGAAAGCTCACTTGTAAACTCGTGGTATTACCTAATGGATAAAGCTCCCGACGTTGATCAAACCCTGAGAGATGCGCCATGCATTGGTCTCAATTCGTGGCGTCTAGAGGTGGTCGAAGGCATATTTGGCCTATCAGTGACTCGCGGTGACCTACCGATATATCAAGTCAATGCTGTTATCCTCCCAGACTAGTCTTATACCAATTCACCGGTCGCGGAGGAATGAAAGGCTCGGCGAGTTTTGAGCGCGGGGTCGAACCATCAACCATGTGTGTGTCGCAGGGCACCTCCAACCACTGCGCCACACACTCTCTGCTGAATCGTAACCGGTTAACTCCCGTGGACCCACGCTAATGGCAAGCCCAGCGTGGAAATGACTCCACCTCTGCCCCGATCGCCATTGTTAGATGAAACACGTTGAAGGTTAGGCGCCATTGTTGGGCGCGATGCGCTGGGGGTTAGAGACGCAGGGGTCGAGGGTCTACGGTCGCGTAGAGGTTAAACGCATTCATGCTGACAGCTCTTGGAAATCGAGGACGATATTTTTTTATCGAGTAATGATTGCTAGCAGAGCGGTGGCTTTAGTGGTGTAGTGGTAGCATGTGCCCCGCATGCGAATGAAACGCGAGTTCAACACCCGCCTCGCGTCGAGAGTTTTGCATGCCCACTCAAGTCTCTCAAAATGCATTCATTTTCTTTCTGTAGTTTAAAATTCTGTCGATAACTCTATCTATTCCTATGGTATAACCACTTTTTCAGACTAGATGGTTTCGGAGACTTCGGAAGTGTCACCGTCGTGGAAGAATCCTCGTGAACGGCTGAGGAAGCATCTGAAACGGACAAGCATGTACGTTCTTGCTTGACTCGTTTTTTACTCCTACTTGAGTCTCTCTCCATATGAGAATTTTCTATTTAAACCCTTTTGGGACCGTGGATCTAACCCTCTGCGTCCTCTGGCCCGCAGCTTGTTGAGTCTAGCAACGGTGTCTAACCCCAGAATGCCATTGTTAGGCGCTTACGCTCCTCGTTAGACATCACTGTTAGACGCAACCACACTGGATCAGAGATGCAGAGTAGGTGAGTCTACGGTCCCGAAATGGTAAGCGTTCGTTCAGCGAGGTATATCATAATTATTGTCCATTATTTTTGAATGATATGCAAAATTTTGAGCCTCATATGGGGACCGAGCCCGCGTTTCTTCCTTTCCGGAGCTCGCTAACCATTTTGCTATCGAGGTTCTTGTTCTGCTATCACTCTCTTTCGTCTGAGGTTTGAAAATTTCCAAACCGTAACTTGTTCCAGGACTCGATCCCTCACTTGGTCACTCGAAAATGCCAAGGTCAAAGGTCTCTTCCGGTTCAGCCGAAGGAAATATAGATGTCGTACCCGCTGAAGGAGTGCTTGTCAATAGAAGTAATCCGTTTAAGGTGAGCAATCCTACGAAATAAAAATAAGGCTGATTCTTATCCGTTATCGGGTTGCGAATGAAGAATTGATCTCCTCTGCTGGACAAGCACCTTCCAATGCAAATTTAGTAATCATTCAAAAGCTTAAATATCGGAGGCCTGCTGAACGTGCTCTTTTTTTTTTGAAAAGGCCTTTTCAAGGCGGTTTAGCTTTCGAAAATAAATTATGTCCCACACGCGCCGCGCACTCTTCATATTATCACACCTATATTTCGCTGGACAAATCTCTTCCCTCAGACTGCTAGTAGTTGTTCGATGGCTTAAATCTCGAGGAATTCAAAATTATGTTTGCTTTCTAGAAAGGCTTCTTACAGCGCTTTAGCAAAAATGAAAGATTCATGTTTCACACACGCGT